AAATTCATTTCCCTGAATAATGTTTTATTTGTACTCTACGTTTGCATTTCCTTTTCTTCGGCCACGTTTATTGAAGGGGGAATGATGTTTTTTAGTATCATTCGTTCGCTTTATTTATTGTCATTACATTAGTTTTGAAGTTAACATTCTTCTTGTTGAGTTCTACTTATTTTAGGCCAAAGAAAGTGAAAATATGGAATTCAATTGATTAAATATATTTTCCCGAAAATGTTCCATTATATGAATGCAGCTACGAAATCATGGCTTAACCAAAAGATGTGATCCAAAAGTGAAACAGAAAACAGAACTTATGTAGCAAGACCATTTGTTTCAAAAAAATAACCAAGCTCTTAATATTTCCTTTGTTTTATGAAATTCTTTCTGTTTAAATGGCGAGGATGATAATACCATGATCACCCCAATAGCATCTGGGGAAGGGTATTGCAGCACAGAGTGTTATTTAGATACAGAGGAGACTGCTGAATGGGGTGAAATGGGCAGTCAAAATTGGTAAAGGAGAGACACTTTTTACAAAAGCTTACTCTTGCTCTAACAGTGTCTTGGAGATTGACAGCAACGAATTAGTGTGTTTGAGCACTCCCCTAAGAAAGAAGCTTGAGATGTTGGCCAGATGTCATGTCTTTGGTGAAAATAAAGTATTTAGATGGAAGGGATTGAAATAAACATGAAAATTGGCTTGCTTGCATGAATTGGGGCATATCTTTGCCACTGTAGATGAAGCATGTTATAATCATTGATTGACTAATTATGCCTATTGTCAATGTGTTGAAATGACTGATTGACTGATCATGTCTATTGCCACTACAGTACGATCAAAGTCTAATTCATTAGGACAATAAACTGTCCATTTTTTCCCGTCTCGCTAGTTGTTTCTTTTTTTTTTATTCTTTTTCTACTTATTGTAGGAATCATGATGTTTGGGACTCCTTTTTTGTTCGCAAAGTCTGGTTTTTGTTCTTGATTGTTTTGTGTCTGTATGCTTTACAGGTGGCAAATACCCTGATCATGAAGCGCTTCTATCGTTGGTTCCAATTCATATAGTCACGCATGAATCTCAACTTCCAACCGAATTTCTCTATCCCTCCTCTAAATGTTAGTTGCCCATTAGATTTGACTTCCAGGGTGTTGAGCTCTGCTGATAGGGGACTCTTTGCATCATGCAGGTGTTATGTTTTATCTTACACTTGTAACTTCAAGTATAATAAGCTTGAACTGTTAAATAAATTAGTATTGTAGGATTAGTGAAACTTCTATCCAAGCGTATGCGAAAAAAATAAATGCTTATATTGGTGAAAAGGGCTAGTAGGTGACCTGTGACCCTTCAACGTGAGAATGATTTTGCTAAATTCAAATGTTTGTGCAAAGGGTGGATAGGTTGTCCAAGTTTTATCACAGTGGTGCAGAAGCATATATCAAGCTGATGAATGCATCAGACATATATATCCTGGCTGGCTTCAATATTAATCTTGTAATTTAAGGCTGAGAATAAATAATGTTCTTTCTTCTTCTACGACGTGAAAACTGGTACTTTTTTTTTGTTTGGGCACTACTGGTGAATAACTTCAATTTCCTGTTCAGATTCAGATTTCAATACAGATATTTGTATTTCAATTTTCTGTATTATGTTGAGCTTTTAATTTTTAATTTCTGCCTGTATCCATGATTTAGTTAGGACTCAGGGTTTGATGATATGATATGAGAGCATTATCTGATTGATATGATTTTGGCAGCTTGGTTTTCCAGATGCTATATATTTGGTTGATGCTATTCAGGGTGGGAATGAGCTGATGAATGCCTGTAAGCCTTCTCTTGAATCTAGTTGCATCACAAAAGTTATTCACAACTGCAAACAGGACAGTGAGGTCGTGAAAATGATGTAGTACTTCACCCACATCTTTCTACATATCTTTTTTCCTCGTGTCTATACCCTTGCTCATACTGGGTATCTTTCTTACTTCGGGCATTAAATTATCAGTTTGGTATCAAGTTGCACAATGTTGTGGTTACCCAGGTGACCTTTGTTTTGTTGGTCTGCTTTTCTTTTCAAAGGAGAAGTGTTATAGTATGAATTTTGAGTTGTTAACTTGGGGCCACCACTTCCGGTACGAATCAGTTGATTCAATGCTGTCTGCACTTGTTTTAACTTGATAATTCATACTCAACCTGCTTCAAAACTGGCATTCAACAAGTTAACGTCCAATATTGCATGAAGTCCTCTTGGCCTCCGACGAACTATTTACGGTGACATTTGAATTTTAAAGGAATTTGGACGAAGGAGGCTTCTGACTTGATACTTTATCACCAGGATTTTCTTCGTGGTTATCAATCTTAGTTCTGTGATAATAGTACCTTCAGCGGGTAGGTTAAAATGGCCTCTCAAGTTTAAAATGCAATTCTTAGCTTCAGTTTGCATACTTGCATACTAAGGTGTTACATATTTACATTTTGTTGTGACGAACGATACGTTTGGAATTATTTTATGGCCACTAGAAGACATTGTATTCTCATTCTTGTTGATATCCCTGCATTAAGTTCAACGAGAGCATGACCTCCATGGCTCAAATTTTGACCATATTTTATACCATGTTCAACTTGTTGCAAGACTGATCCTGTGCATCAAATTGTTCACTTTGAAAAATGGATGTTTTTTCAACACAAGCAGTTGCTTTGTGATCAATTGGGTGAATTTCTCTTTCATGGTTTTACAGATAGCATATCATCTGGGAGAGGAACAACATGGACGGAAAAGATTGCCCAATAACTACATGACTCCTTGTGGGATCCTCATAATTGTGGTACTACATCTATATTGCAGTCTGGTTTTGGAGTGTCATTTTCATTAAACTCTACTTCTTTTCTTTGCATACTGATGCATGGTTTTGGTAGGACAACCTTTTCATAGGTTTTTATGTTCCAGTGTCCAGTCAAGTTTTTTAGTTTTTACCCCCCCCCAAAAAAAAAAAACACACACACACAAACTTAAAAAAGGTGGCTCTTGTTATTTCTTCTTTGATGTTTTCTCCCGCTTTAAAAACATGCTGCAATTGATATCGTGTACGGAGAAGAAAGAAGTCCGCACCCTTCTAAGAGAGGTCAGTATAGTCATTTTAATATCAGTTTTGAAACCAGTATGCACATTCTGACAAAGTATTAAGTTGCTAAATAATTTCTCTTGTACACATCCTCAAAAATATAAACACACCTTTGAGGTTCTAGGTTTGTTTCTTTGGGTTGGATTTGTCGTTACTCCAATCTTCCAATCTAGTGAGCCCTCTTATGATGTTTCTTTGAATTACTTATGCATTATTTTAAATGGATTATTGCTCAGAGCAAGATGAACTGATGAAACAATGTATGAACTACATTGTTCATGTCAAAAAACTATTTGCTAAGCCTACTTACACTGAAATCTCTGGCTGCCAGGTTTTCAAACTTTTCCAGTGGCTACTACATATTTTGAAGATGCAGCAATGTAGTCGCTATATTTAAAGAATATAGTGTAGAAGGTAAAAAAATTAGTGATTAATGTTTGAGAGCAGTCATATTTGTTTCTTGAAGGGAACACAATGATCCGTGCGCTTTTTCCTTGTCTTCTTGTTGGTGTGATTAGATTTCTCAAGTCAGCTACGTTTATTTATGGAGCTTTGTTTTTTCTCCCTCAGGTGAGTGCATTTGGTGAGTCTACCTTTTTTCCGGTAGAAGGCTTACCAAACATGAAAAAGCAATTTCTCTCTGTTTTTGAATAAGTAGAGAACTGTTATCAGTGAATTAATAATGCAGTTGGTTGCATGGACAACTTTAGGGACCAATTTAGAAGTCCTGAAATCATATATACAAATTCCAAAATCCAAATAGAGCCTTAGCTTTTGTTGATTCTCATGATGTGCTCACTATTAAGCTTTTATTGTTTTGAAGGAAGTCTCCCCTTATGGCATGTTAGGGACATGAGATGATGAATGGTCGACATATGAATTTTTGTAGCTCATATAATTTATTCAGTTGAGGAGTCAGTAAACACAAGTGAGATGTTTCTTTGGGAGAATAATGTCTCTTGGATATGATTTGTATATGTGTTCCATGTAACAATTTGTGTATTTACTAGAGTTATAGGGGGAGATATCTGTATGGGACCTACAGTCCATTAATTTTCCTTTTGGATGATGGCCAGTACAATTTGTTGTGCTTAGATGATGATAGATATTTGAGGAAGCTGATGGCTGGAATACTTGTCTGACAAACTAATGTAGAAGCGATGGAATCAGGTTTTTTGGTTCTTTTCTTCGTGGACTGATTGATTTATTTTCATACTCATGTCTATCTTGCCTTGTCTTCTTATAGCTAAACTCTTAAATGTTATGGTATGCATTACTTGTTGCAAATTCTATTAAAACAAATGCTGTGAGCTTCAAAGCTTTTGTGAAATATGCTTTGAGTAAGGAATGTTAAGATATAATTTGTGAGATAACCTGAATGTGGGAAGGAATACTCCAGAAAAGGAAATCCTGTCAGTGCTTGAATTCCGCATGTAAAAATGGGATGCTTTATTGGTAGAAAAGGATCTTAAATAATGTCAATGAAAGAATCTTACGCAAACACGCCCACCCTCTCCCTCTTTCTTGCCTCAGTTCCTCTAAATCATCTACAAATGCACTTTGTAGGGGTGAAATTTGAATTGGTGGAGCAAAGGGGCCTCCAGACAAGGTAAATTTGTCATGAAAACTCTGTTTAACAGTATACAGCTCTGAATGTCCACTCTTATTCCACTTTTAGTGCCTTCTCTTTGCACTTATCATGTATGGATTACAGTAAGCGAGGTGTGGAACACGTCTTTCTCATACAGAGTCTTCTGAAAAAAAAGATATATATCTACTGAAGGTCCTATAGACATTGGTGTTTTCTTCTTCTCAGACCTGATGCTCCTTTTTTCTTACATTGAGTTGCCAACTTACAACTTAGCAAAATGGTTGAAAAAAATATAGTATACCCATAGATACAAAATTTGCATGCATCAATGCTCATTTTTACCATGAAATGATCAAATCTAATGCATGCATTGGGATAATATCAATTGCTACGTCTCCATGTGTGGGTATATATTGACGCCACTCCATTTATATTCACATAGGTTTTCATCATAGGACCAATGAAGCAGGGTGAGGAAAGCAGAAGCCATTTTACAGGGGAGGACGTGGAAAATTCATTTTGAACCTTGTTGATCATCAGGAAAGCATTCTGTTTACACCTTTATTTTTTGTGCTTGCTTCTTGAAACAATCTCAAGGAGACCCTAATTACCTGTCTTTAATATTGAAGCACCTTCAGATTTTAATTAACCCCCTCACTTGCTAGTGGCGATAAAAACTTTGGCAAACTTTACTTTATCCCCTTGTAGTTGGGCTCTTTTGCAGATTTACCCCCTCGCCTTTCTAAATAGGCACTTAACTCTCGTGTAGTTTATGGAATAAATTGAACTACATTTTCATCCATTTTAAATAACAATGTTATGCATTTTGGTAGTTTTGACCGCTAGCAATTAGACGAGGTTAATCCTCAATAACTGGTCGGTGGTGTCTGAAACTCCATATGGGTCAGTTTCATGACCATAAAGACTGCCAGCTTGGGAATTCTAGGATTACTGCTGGAGTGGAATGGACTGCTAGTTCTAGAAAATGTTGGGAAAGTGACTGATCATAGTGAAAGAGATAAGATCCCCCCACCATGGGGTTTTGGCCTTTTTTTGAGCTAAAGCCATTGGATGGGACAAACTAGCTGTGCATGCATGCATATGAAAACCTCTACGGTGCCAGCTTCAAGTCAATCATAGAACCCTAGTGATTGTGAAATGTCGTCATTGCTGGAAATTCCCCTTTGATGGTGCACTTTGCTGGTTTCATTTATGTGCTGACATGCATGATGCATCTTCACTCTTTTTTTTTTTTAGCTAGGGTGGGTTCAAATTTATATCAGTTACTCTCTCGAGTTTAGCAATTGTCATTATGATTTGAGCTAAGTTAGAATATGTCTAAGAAATAAGAGTGGCTGACCCTTGAGAAATGTGATAAACGATTGAATTTGAAACTTTTAACTTATTAAAGATTCAACTTAACCATTAAACCACTCCTAAGAGTTCATTTCCGCCCTCTTTATTGCCCCCATGAGCTGGCAATGGAGTGATAATGCATGTTGCGGAGTAATAGTTACATTTGGGCCAAGGCTTGTCCTGTTTATTTGGGTCGGGTCAGCCCAACCAAGTAGGCGGTCAACCTGGCTAGACCAAAAGTCCTGCTAATTCTCCGTGCGAAAATCAAATCAAATATTGCATTTGGGTTTTACTGTATTATTGAATTATCATTCAAGGAGTCTATAAACAAACCTATAGAGCTAATTTGTTATTGATTGTTTGATCATCTTATAGTTACGAGCTCATTTTGAATTCAGTTCATTTTTTAAACAAATTAAAATTGAACAATTTTTTAAATTTGTTTAAAAAGATGAATTTTATATACCAATTTGAACTAACAGAATTTGATGTAACCCCCGATGAGTAATCCATGATTAATATCTTTCATCCAATTGGTTGACTGATGGACTGAGCCAGCAGCATGGCCGAACATGTTGCCTACCTTTGAGATATAGTTTAGTGTGGTTCGGGAACATTCTATAAAATTGCAATTTAGTACAACCATTAGCACCAAGGTGACTATGACATTCTAGTAGTAGGAGACAATATTTATTAATGGGGAAAGTTATGGTACCGAAATGCATTTTTTCATATACCGTACCATTATTTTCTTGGCCAATAAAAATATTGTAAATGTACATTTTTTCCTTACGTTATTATTTTTTTATTTTATTAATTATAAATTATAAATTAATTTAAAATCAACGGTCCAGATTATTTTTTTAGCACGCTACCACCAAGATAATGTTTATTAAGATGGAGATTCTGAATTTTAGTTGAGCAGTGGAAGTGAAATGAGATCAGATGGTCCCAATTACAGCTCCCCCGATCTTCGATTAAATCCCATGTGCGAGATAGCTATCCCGTCGAGGGTCCCTCCAATCACAGTAAGCCACGTGTGAATAAAAGCTTTGGGTTCACGTGTGGCCCGTAATAATTGAACAAGCAGGCATGGGGCCCACAATATTAAGTTGGGCCATTTGGCTAACCCGAGCCGACACAAATTATTTGAACCTGTAACGGCTCGAAAGTGACGGACTCGTCCAAGCCGACTACTAGTGGTCCCGTTTCCGTAACGGTGAGCAGAAAATAACGCGGGTAAGGAACAGAACAGAGGCTTTTAATTGGGATTTGGACACTCTGGGTTGTCGACTGAGGTCTGAGAGTGATGGATATGGACCACTTCTATTATGGGCCTGTCAATCAGATGTCTCCTCTGGATTGTCCGAATGGGCCTACTTGTGCGGCCCAAAGCAATGGTTTGACTGTCAATCTCGAGTAAAAGCTTTTATGCTCCGTTTGGTACGATTAAAAAGTGAGAGGATGAAAAATTGGAAGAATGGAAAGTTAGANTTGACTGTCAATCTCGAGTAAAAGCTTTTATGCTCCGTTTGGTACGATTAAAAAGTGAGAGGATGAAAAATTGGAAGAATGGAAAGTTAGAGAGATAAAAAAAATATCATGTTTGGTAAGGAAGAAAAGTAGGAAGTATGAAAAAGTGGATTGATTAATTTTCCTTCTAACTCACCAAAATCAATCCCTCCAAAATCGGAAGGAAAGTGGATGAAAAATTATTTATTTGTGTTGAGATGTATCTTATTTGTCTATATATCTCATGTATACATTAATTTTATATAAAAATACAATGGTAAAATATGTATATATATTTTAAAAAATTTTAAAAATAAATTTTTTAAAAAATAAAAAATAGAAAAAAAAACAAAAAAAATAAAAATTTTAAATTAAAAAAAAATATTTTTTCCATCTTAACTAAGAGTGATTTAAACTCAACACGATGACACGACTTGAACTCGATACGAAAATAAACAGATCACCTCGTAACTCGACAAGACACAATTAATTAAATGAGTTAAGTTAGGTTTGACTAATATTTGACACAAACTCGTAATAACTTAAAACGACACGACTTGATTCTATTGTCACCCCAAATCTTAGGCAGCACAAAAAAAAATAGTTATTTTTTATTTTTCATCTATCTAACCAAACACAAAGGAAGGAAGGTGTATCATTCCTACTTTCCATCCTTGAAGGATAGAAAGTGTATCTCTCATACTTTCCATCCTTCTTACTTTATATTCTCCCTACTAAACGGAGCATTAACGTAGTTAGTCATCTTGATTGTATTTTTGTTTTGGTCAACATATTGATTGTGATTAACGTTGCAGTTATTAGGCTAATGTGAGGTTTATTAGATCATGTATTAGTGTATAGTAATATTATTTGAATCTAAAAATTTAATTTAATTTATTAATTTAATGATTTATTTTTATTATAACCGTTAGATTAACAAATTTTAATATTTAATAAAACATACGATCAATTCAATAACTATAGTAAATTAAGTGAACAAATAAAATTCCAATAACATTGTTGTGTCTATCAATCACCGAGTGAAGGGTAATGAATAGGATGATTCGAAAAGAATTTGAGTTCTAGTTCATCATAAAATTTGGTCTCTCCTCTTTGAATGATCGACATTAAGATTAGGATATTCACGCAAGGCCTAGTCCTTATAAACTATTAAAATTTAAATTCAAAATATTTAAATTTAGAATACATCCTTTTTATTAATTGAACTGCCCCCTGATAATTCCATCCTAACTTATTTTATAATGCTCCTTCTCTTCCAAGTGTATTTCTCAACAACTTATTATTAACTTGTGCGGTGCTCACTCTCTCTCTCTCCTTCCTTCCTCCTCCTCTCCCTTCTTTCTCTGTCGTGGGTATGTGCTGCGTATAGGGGATCAAGTGGGTATATCTTTATAAACCTCTCCTTTCCCTACTCTCTGAGTTTTTGCTGTATTTTAAGCATTAAATGGGTCTATCTCAAAACTAAATCTTTCTGTATCTGATAGGTTTAGTATGGTTGTGTTTTAAGAAACCTGGAGTTCCACATACATGAGTTTGTGCTTCTTTGTTTTTATTCTTTTTCATCAGGATGGTGAAGAAAACCATGAGAGTTGACATAAAAAAGATGTTAAGGGCCAGGAGTCACAAAAGAAACAATTGCTATGGGAACCCATTCACTGAGCTGTGAGTGATGGGGCGCATGTGGTAAGACTCAGAACTCAGATTCTCTCTCTCTCTCTCTCTGAGAAAACAACTGTGGAAATTTATTAAAATGGGAAAAATAATAGACTAACGATATGAAAGGACAAAATCCTAGGAGCAACTTGCTTGTGCTACCTTCTCTTCTGACTCTTTTGCTTGCTTTCCCTGCCAATTATCTTTTAAATTACAGCAAAACTCCCCTACTACCAGTTCTATGTCCAAGATGGAAATTCACCTGCAGATATGTCTTAAAGATTTTGTGTGTTATTTCTACTGTTATACAAACTGCACCATCTGTATCATTCCATTACTCATATTTAATCCAACCATAAATGTCTAAGCTCATACATGCATCTACAGGTTATCATTATAATGCCCGAAATTAAAACTATAAATTGCATGGTTCAGTGCCAAATCTGTCAGGCCTAAAATTCTAAGATTGTAAGTCTGAATCGGGCGACATTTTTTTGTGCAAATTAATTACGACAATGGTTGTATTTGGCTCGCCCTTCTTAGTCTCTTAGAATGTCCTATTAATGCAATCAAACTGAATAATTATACGACTACGCGATTGGGCAACGTCTACTTATTGCAACTTATTGCATAGATACTTCCAAGATGGGGAACAGCTTTAGACGCAATGGGTCCATTTGGGTTGAGTTGCTGAAATGATCAAGTATCATATAGTTAGAATGATAAAATCCATAGTGGTCCTACTAGGCCTGTAGAAAATAGAATTCTCCGGTGCATGTCCCTTCTAAAGCTAATTTACTCAACTGACAGACCTCTTTAATGCACTTTTTTTTTTTCCCGGTAAGTATGTTTTTGCACATTGATTTGATTCCTACCATTATGCATTCAGAGGGAATCAAATTATTCAAGATTTGAAGTCCTCTTTCAATGTGTATGTTAGTGACTCTATCTGTAAATATAAAATCATTCCATTATTGATAGATAGTAAGTGCATAAGATTAGTTAATCTATAAGTCCTCAGCTCCTGCCTTCGAGTTTTATTCAAATACACTGTTCCTTATATTTCACTAAAACAAACTTCTATGAATGCACTTTTTCTTCCCTCAGAGGTGGATTAAATTTTAAGTAAAACTCATTATGTATAAATAAGTACAGTGTATATGCTAGAACCCATAGTTAATTCATACACATAATTGAATTTTAAATATGAGGGCGGATTTTAGTATAACAGGAAGTTGTTCTATTATGACTTGGAAAGTCACGAATTCAAGTCCTGAAAATAGCATCTCTACTTGTAAAGATTAAATTTCGTACATCTAACTCTCTCCAAATCTCGTCTCATGCATTAAATGATCAAAGAATCGGATGTTTCATGCAGCATCTAAAAGTAAAGCAGTAGAAAGTGTAAGGTGGAAATTGAAATTTCAATGACAGCTATGATTAAAACTATGATTATTGGAAATCTTTGAGAAAGAGAGGCACTGCTAAAGATGCTCACTCTCTCACTGCAGTTTGCTGAAATTTTACAGAGCGCATGAATAGATGAGCAACCAAAAGGAAGTCAGAGAGCTTTCTCCACTAAATAGATAAATATATAAACATATACATTAAATTGCATAAAATAAATATAAAACTTGAAGTAAATTATAAATTAAGATCCAAAATGCTCTTCTGAAATCTCATGCTCCCCATCTGCAAAATATGCTCTTACAGCCCCACCAAACTGACCAAAAAGCCTTATCTTTTTTCTACATCTCTCCTGTCAACTGCAGAAACTCAATATATATTTTATTAAGTTCCTACTTTTCGCATATTTTACATGCTTAAGTACTACTATCATCTATCTGTTGTATTTTAAATTAAACCCATCCCTGTTCTTGCTTTCTATATAAGCTTATCTTTAACCAACATGATACAAGGAACCAAGATTGGTCCTCAATGGCAGCTGAAGCTTATTAACTTGTTCTAGTTTTCCATGATGGTAGATTTTTTTTCTNAATCACTTCTTAGGGTTCGTTTAGTACGGTGAAAAAGTGAAAAAACAAAGTATAAAAGGACGAAAAATAGACGAAATTAATAAGGGCTCGTTTGGTACGTTTACGAATTTTAATTTTCTAAAAAATGAAAAACAGAATCAAAAAACTAAAAACGTCTTTTTCTCGTTTTTGAAAATTATCTATCGTTTACAAAATAATGAAAAAAAATAAAAAATAAAAACGGTTATCAAACGAGTTTTTTTTTTCTTATTTTCTCTAAATGTCAAAACGAAAAATGAAAAACATAAACGTTACCAAACGGGACATAAAATATCATGTTTTGTTAAAGAGAAAACTTGATGAATGAATCTTTTTTCCATCCTATACAATGAAAGGAAAAATAAGCTTGCCTTGAAATGGTTAGATACTCTATGTAGGATGTGTATGAGTATGTTTTTGTCTCCGGGCCATCTTACTAGCTTTGAACCGGTCATTAGATTGGCCGTCTTTCCATGTCGGGCACTACTTGATATCTTCCTTGTTTGATCTTTCTTTCTCTAGGATATGGTTCTTCCAAAGCTCAATTTGTCTCCCATCATGACAAAATATTCAATAATTTAGCGAACGAGTTTTTTATTATTGTAAAATTTGAAAAAAAAATCAGATATATGCAATATGGCCAACCACCCAGTTCACAACGGAGTGAGTCTTATCTTTAGGCCAGTCCCTGCTGCCCTCAACAATGGTGAACATGTTAAGTTAGCTCATAGGGTATGGTGTAGACAACACCTTTGATGATTAGTCTCCCTATAGCCAAATTAGTATAGTGAACCTCCTGATGGGCCAGGGTTGAATAACCCTGCAAATAGTTCAGCTCTGGGCTTTGCCGAATGTATGGGCTAACCGCAGAGGACTTCCATTGGGTTTCCCATCAGTAGTCGTCTATAAGAAAGTGCTCTTGGGCTGGGCATATTGTAGTATTTGGCTTACATTGCAAATCCAATCCCACAAGAACAAAAGAATGACTTTAGCAGCATTCACACTGGGCCTAGATAAAGCAAGATCAGATCAGTCTGGATTAACTATCGCTACTTTCTGTTGCTGGGCCAAATCATATATAGGGAATCCAAATACCCCAAAATAGCTGTCTATGGCTTGAGCATAAGGGGGTATTGACCGGGGAAAAACAGATTTTCATTTAAATTCGTTTCGTTTGAATCGAAGATAGATTATACGTATTGAACGATGAATATATATAGAAATATTCGTATAAATCCGCGTGGAGATAAAGGTGAGAATGGACTGGCACTTTCCCTCGCCCCATCACACACACACACACACACACATATATATATTTTTTATATAAAGGAGTTAAATCTTCTTTTTTACTAGCAAATTTAAAATATTTTTTATACAATTATTATAGTTTTTTTTTGTTTTATTGTCTTTATTAAATTACAACTGTGAAGGTACATAACATAAAAGTTTCTCCATTACAAATATTAAAATAGTATTTTGGATCTTTGTTGTTTGTATTATATTCGATTATGTTTATGTTACATTATGTTTGTGTTGCATAAATGTTGTGTTGGATTTTCATGAGAGACAATGTTTTAATTATATTATGTTAGATAATGTTGTAGGTAAAATTTGAATTATATTATGTTGGAGACAATCTTTTAATTATGTTATGATATTCTACAATTATGTTAGATTATTTAGAATTTTATTGAATTATTTAAAATTTTAGATTATGTTGACTTGAGTTTAGGCTTGGGCTTAGGCGAGGAGCGGATGCAAGGGTGAAGGCGGGATTGGGCGGGAATTACAAAGAGACTTTTTAAGTGAATATGGAGATGAAGACTACACCTCCTACTAATGCTTTAGTTCATTGTCATCCGTATAAGTAGGTGGGTGGATACACTAAAACAATTCGTAAAGTTTGGGGTGTTAATGTTATTTGTACTTTTTTTTATTATGGAAGAATTACATTCAGACTTCTTGAAATTTATCATTTAATCATTCATATCCATAATATTTAAAATATCATACACAAATCCCCTAAAAATTTTACGTTCATAACACTTAGATCCCTGTCATTAATGTATGTATATCCACTAATAAATTATATCCAAATCCTTTGAAGTTTATAGGCATTTAATACTTATATTTTCTCATGTTTAAAATGTTATATTTAAACAAAAAATATACCAAGTAAAAATAAAATATCAAATAATTTAAAATTTATAACTAAAATTCATGTTATATTATAATATTTGTTAAAATAAAAATAAAAATAAAAATCTAATTTTTCTAAAAAAATCACAATTTGTATAATTTTATACTATCTATTGAAATTTAATTTGGTCGTTTAAACGACTAAATTACTCCAATTAAAGTTAGAATATATTGTGTTTATTATAGTTTGATCACTTATTTGATTTTTTAATTTTATTCAAAAAGATAGTATAATTGTTTTTTTTTAATTTTATTCAAATAGATATTATAATTATATACTAATTACAAATTTTTAAGAAAAAATTTATTTTTTATTTTTTATTTTATTTCAATAAATAACATAATAGAACATAAATTTTTGTTGTAAAATTCATTGTCTATTATGAATGACTTAGTCTTTGTTTGATTTTTCAGTTTTATTCTAATAAATAGTATAATTGTCATATTAATTATAATTTTTTTTAAAAAAATTAAAATTTTATTTTTGATTTTATTTTTATAAATAACACAATAAAATATAAATTTTAGTTATAAAATTTAAAATATTTAATATTTTATCTTTAATTGTAATATTTTTTGTGTAAATATAATATTTTAAATTTGAGGGGTATAAGTATTATACGTTTATAAATTTTAAAAGATCTTGGTACAATTTATTAATAGACATTTGATAACTAATATCTAAGTATTAAACATATGCAGACTTTAGAGGTTTGTATCTAATATTTTAAATATTACGATCTAAATATTTATGTGACAAATCTCAGAGATCGAAGCGTAATTTTCCCCGAATTTTTAGTTTACCGTGTACAACTCGCATATGTTACTGTAGAAACTTGAGAGAAAACTGAAAACAATGGCGACCACTCCGATGCCGCCGAACGTGGTGGCCGGAAACCCTGGCTTCGAAGGGAATGCTTTGGTGGCGCCGCCGCCACCACCGTTGACTGACATGACAGGAATATGCTTTAGGGATCAGCTGTGGTTGAACACCTACCCACTCGACCGAAACCTGGTGTTCGACTACTTCGCCCTCTCACCGTTCTACGACTTGACCTGCAACAACGAACAACTTAGAATGCGCTCCATTCACCCCCTCGATCTCTCTCATCTCTCGTAAGCTCCCATGCTCATTACAAGTGTGTGTATTTCTATGAATAATTAACTAGGGTTTCCGGGACAAAATTACATAGGGGAACCAAAATTTTCGAGCTTTATCATTATTTTTTTATTTAGTACATTATTTTTATTGACATTTGGTTGTTTAGAGACTCTGTTTGATCCTTCTGCTAAGAAATTTTGAAATAATTTTGGTGGTAAGTCTGCGGATTATTATAGAGGAAATCTGTAAGCTGGCAAATGGGTGACTTTTACACGATAATTACTACTTCTCATTTGTGTAATGCTTTTCTCAGCTTGGTTTTAGATTTTTTTTCTATTGATTTTTGTGATTCAAATCTAATACTAGGATAATCAGTACAACATGTTCCATTTCACTTGAAAGGGAACAAACATAGAAGGTTTGGGTTTGGAACACACCTAAGAGTTCTAAAGCAAAACGTTGAAGGAACATGGTTTCTGGAGTGAAGATAATAGATATAGACTTGATGGTTTCAAAATATGAACTTCTTTTGAGACCCAAAATTTGGAACAATGGTATAAAGGGAATGAGCCAGCAAAACCAGAGGGAGTTCTCCACGCGTTAATTGGTCACATTCTTGATCTTTTGACACACACGTACAATATTTGCAACCGAATTTAAAAGCTTTTTTGTTTGCAAGTATACTTCTCATGACATTACATTTGTGTACATTGGCAGATTATATTTGGTTGTTGTGTGTAAGCGTAATTCGGTAGGCTTGATGGTAAAGTATTAGAATCCACCTAATTCAGCTGTTTCAATCACATTGAATTGAGAATACAAGTTTGTTGAAGGCATTGTGTTGGATGATTATCATGTGTTCTGCAGGAAAATGACAGGAACTGAGTACATGCTGAGTGAAGTTATGGAGCCCCACCTTTTTGTCTTACGGAAGCAAAAGAGGGATAGTCCTGAGAAAGTCATGCCAATGCTGACTTATTACGTCTTAGATGGTTCGGTATACCAAGCGCCACAGCTTTGCAATGTTTTTGCAGCTCGAGTAGTAAGTATTTATTTTCTCATTTTTGGTTCTTTTCTTGATCTTTAGTATCTGTTTCAGAAATCATACTTAACATAATAGCCTATGGTAGCTTTGCTTCATGGCCTAATGAATTACTTTGCAAGTTAATTGAGTTAACAAGGGGTGCTATTGATTTTTTGGATGAAGTTATCCCATCAATCAGTGACTAGCATTAGATGCTACATGGTGATAACTAATAGTTGTTATGTATGTTATGATGAGTGAAGTGTGAAAAGGTTATTAATAATTTAAAATAATATTCACTTTTGTTTGTAAAATCTTGTCTCCACATTGTCTTTATTGTGTACCAATGTGGTAGGGACGCGCATTGTATCATATATCAAAAGCTTTCACTACAGCAGCCTCAAAGTTGGAGAAGATTGGATATGGTATGGTGGCCTTCATTTCTCCTTTTTGTCATAATATCATGATGATCATTTTGCGAAACTGTTGGATGTGCTTCGGCGTGTAGATGAGTATAGCTGGAATCACCACTAAATGTGCTAAGCCTGCCATAGCACAGCAGTGAAATTGAAAAAAGGAAAAAAAAAAAAAAAACATAACTTTGTGGATATGATTGAAAATGGTTTACATATGCTATATACAAACTTAAGTTGTTACCTAAAAAATTTCAATGTTAGAGATTACTAATTCCATTTTAACTATTTATGATCACCTCGGTGAGCAACCATGGTACATTTGTTTGTAATTTTTTTAGCAGGGTTGGTTTGCAGCAACCAGTGAGTCTTATGCTATCAACATGGAAAATTTCTCCTATGGGGAACTAATATCAAGTATTTGTTCAATTTCATACGTTCCTACGATGTCTATGAATTCTGTAATTGGGTTTCTGATAACCCAGTTTAATCTGAGGTCATTCTTCTGATAACCCAGTTTAATCTGAGGTCATTCTTTCTGTAGTAGAGTAAATGAATCCCTATCATTCTCTTAATGGCACCAAAATGAGTTTTCTTGCTTTTCTTAACATTTTAGAAAATGAAGAGAATTCTCGACTAATTGTGGATCCATTACACCTAGGTCTGACCGTCTGAGCACAACTACTATTTTCCAACAGATTCTGTGGTTCTGGAATAAGCTTCTAATTTGGTTTCATTGTGCAACAGTTGTGCACAAAGATTTAAGCACCACTGTCTAGTTTGTGTCAGTAGTGGCAATTTTTATTCATTCAAGTGAAATTTCTTGCAAGGCACATGAGACATGAAATTTGCTCCTGTGTGAATTCATGGTGCCGGGAGGTTGGATTGGTAATTTTTACCTTGACCTTTATTCATGCAGGGTGGTGTCGCTCAAGCCTCCTCAGTTCTCACGGTTCTTAAATGCCACTAACTTTTATGATCATGTCTTTATAAGATCACCTTGTTTATATCATAGAGTAGTGCTATGTATCCCAAATTTGTAACCCAAATCAAGTAGGATCATTGGATTAGTAGGTCCCATCAACTTTTTTAAATGGGACCCACTGATCCAGTGGTCCTCATTGATTTGTGATGTAAATTTGGGTTACAAATTTGGGACACATATCATTACTCTATATCATATTTTGGCCTGGATAATATATATAGTTATTCCATTAATTGACTCTCTCTTTCTCTGTCTCTCTCTCGTGTTGACAAAGTTATTTACTCATTGTTCTGATCCTTGGTTTGAGTAATATTGGGATGTAAAGCCTATTTTTAGACTCTTTTATTAATGCATGGTGGATCTCCTTCATTACTATTGGGTTATCTTTAACTCACATCTGGCATGAATTTCAAAACCTATTTGTGCATGACGATCGCCTGAGCACCATTTGGTCATCTCAAGCACTAGTCACATTCAAGGGCTTCGTTGCGTAGTTATTCAACCCTTTTCAGTTTCTCCTTGGCATTGCATTTTCTGCTATTAATCCATTTGATACAATACAATCGGAATCTCCAAAGTTTTTTATCATTTGGATGCAGTTGATACTGAAAATGAGAATGCAACGCTGGAATCAAAGGCTGCCAAAGAGACAATTGACTTTAAAGAAGTTAAGCGAGTAGATCACATTCTTGCATCACTACAACGCAAGGTAACTCAAATGTGTCAAGTCAATTACCCTTGCCCCTCTATATCACGGGGAATCTACTACATAGCATTAAAGGTTATAAGGGACATTGTGTAGGATTTGGAGCAATTTTCAATGACTTAAGGTTGTAGTCTTTTGATTCTGATAGAGTGTACGCTTATGAATCATTGCGGCTTATTTTTCCACCGTAGTAGGTGAAAGAAAACATGTATATCTTCTATTTGGCTTAATTGAAATCTGAGCAGCTGTTGCTAGTTTTTTGTTTGCCTTAAGCATATCTTTCTAGTGTAAGTATGGTCTTGTTTGGTTATTAGAACTCAGAGCTTGGCAATAATTCACATGGATCGGGTAGATAGGTCCCTAGTTTGGGTATGAGTGGAGAAGTAAAGGCACTAACAGGGTTTGATATATTTTCTTCCCTTAAGAGAAATATTTAATCACAATGGTTAGAGTAATAAGAGATGTTCTCTACAATTTCTGCAGCTACCACCAGCCCCTCCTCCTCCTCCTTTTCCAGAAGGTTATGCTCCTCCTGCCACTGCTGAAGGAGAGAGAGGCTCTGAAACCCCGCAAGCAGAGCCCCAACCTACTGCTGTGGATCCAATCATCGACCAAGGCCCATCTAAGAGAATGAAATTTTGAGGTGACACTTATTTCCCCTTCTTTCAACATCCAAAACCATTTCATGGGCCAAAGATTTTCCCGAGACAGGTTATATTTGTAACAAGGGGAGCCCACACTGAGTTATAATTGGAAAATTTAGAGCCCGGTCTCCTTATATGAACTTATTTAGAGATAAGTCAATCAAGAAAACTTATTTAATTTTAAGTCTGTTTTTTGTCAATTTTACTATTGTAACCCTTTTATATAGGAATGTTATAAACGACGTTTATGAACACAATAACCATTCAGATACATCTCCTTCATAATTACCTTCAAATTCGATTATAATCTTCCAAACTACAATATTTTCTTATCCGAAAAACAAGAAACTAGTAATTACCAAAAATCATTCATATTCAAATTTTAAACCTATTACATTCTATAAAATATAATTTTAATTTACTATTCCAGTTTACTTTGGACTTCATCAATAAAATATTAATATTTAAAAAATAATAATAGTAACATATTTAACAAAGACAGTAACATGATTAATAAAAACTAGTAACATGCTCACAAAAAAAATGGTAACATGGTAAAAAAGTAATAATAATTAGGAATTTAATTATGTTAAAGTGGGCATTAATCTTGTAACCAAGATTCAAGAGAATTCATACATTAGTACTAAATTAAAGTGTTATAGATTTTGATTTTGTTAATTTTTTTGTTGCGCAAGACAATCGAGTATTTCTTGGTTATGTTACTGTGAAAAAAGTTCATGTTACTGTATGTGAACCAAAAAATGGAGTTCAAAATTTTGATATCTTAATGTTCATAATTGGTGTTGAGTGTCGTAATTCAACTGTTAATTGTGTGTTACTATTTGTCATTTTGAATTTATGGATCGTATTTTCACTAAAATCATTCGAAAGTTGATGTTAATGTAAAAAAACTATTGTCTTTTATTTTATAAAATTAGATGTGTTACTGATCACAAAATTTTGATGTTACTGTGAATATTAAAGTGTATGTTACATAATATACTTCTCAATGTTTGTAATTATATGTTAAAATTCACTATAGTAACATTAGTGTCAGTATAGTAACACGACTGTACTGGTAATACGATCCTAATTGTAACTTCAATCATTTGGTAACATAAATGTTATTATATATTAACAGTCATGTTATCGAACTCTGTTAGCATTATTCAACTTTCTTATATTTTGCATTATTGTTGTTAAGGAAATTTTGTGATCTGATTTTGACTTAATAGACTAATAATTTATTCGTACTTTAAGTTTTCCATATATAACTATCAGAATATATAATTTCTATATAAAACTTTTGTTAATTATCATAATATTTAATAAACGATTTTCTTATATAACTCAATTAAGGGTCTTCATATATATATATTTCAACGATTTAATTTATGTGACTTTTTATAACTGGACAAAATTAACACGATTAGGGATAATTTTGAGATTTAAAAAATAAATAGAGTTAAGTATATACATATAAGTTTAAACATGAACTTACCTTCAAATAAGTTTTCTTCCTAGACTCAAGTAATTACAAGTCTATTTAGGGACTCACCCTCAATTTTCACTTTGTAATTGGACATCTTATTTCATAGTTTAACATTTATCTTCATGATGTCAATTGTAACATAACACCGTGAACTTGTTATCCAATACATCTGTCATTTACCTTGCTGTGGTATCTTACTCTGGTCAAGGCATGGCTAGATAGATATTATGGCCATGTAGCAATGTCCTACGTACATAAATTTAAATAATATTAGTTTTATAAAAAAATGTAAATTATATGTGTAATTAAATTAAATAATAAGTTAGGGGTTGAATAATTAATTTATATTTTAATTATTGATTTATTCTAAAAGTCTTTGAGAACATAATTTGTCATTTATTTATGTATCTCTCAGATCCCTTTAGTCATTTGTATATATAATTATATATATAATAAAATACAATACAATTTAAATTTCAAAAGATAAACAAAATGACTTTTGCTATTCGCGATTGAGATCGCTTTAAATTTTACTTTAAAAATAATCTAACGGCTAATATTAACACTCCAAATTTAATAGGAAAAATAAGCTTCTAAGAATATATTTGGAGTGACTTTTTAAAAATACTTTTAAAAATTATTTTTCATAAGTACTTTAAAAAAAAATAGTATTTGAAATCGTTCCACAATTACCTCTACCNATTACCTCTACTACCCTTACCCCCACCACCACCCCCACCAACTCCGTCGCCGCCACTGCCACCCTACCATATCTACCACCCCACCACAACCATCGCAATTGCCACCATTATCATCACTTTCATTGCCCTGCTACCACCATAACCACTATCACCACCACTCCACCATCATCACTACCACTACTTTCATCGCTCCACCATTTCCATCGTACCATCACCACTATCGTAACCACTACCGCTGTTGCACCCTACTATTATCATCACCACTGTCGCACCTTATCACCGCTGCTACTGTCTCACCATTACTCTTACGACCTCCACCGCGCCACTACCACCCCCCAATGACCATCACAATTATCACCACCATTGCCAACCCACCATCACCACTACCCCACCTTCACTCCTACCCCACCCTTAATGCCCTACCGTCGCCACCACCATGACCTACCACCGATTGCTATCTTCGTCGTTAATGACCACCATCAACTATCATCGTCATTTTATTCTTATATTTATTATCATTACCACCATCATCCCATTATCACCGTCGCCCATTGTCAGCATCCACCACTACCCATCATCACCACTAGCCACTATCACCTACCCTACTACACCTACCACCACCTATCATTGTCTACCACTGCAGCCACCCACTGTCACCTATCCCCACCACATTTACCACCGCCGCCATTCGTCACCACCCATTACACTATTGCCTAGAAACACCCATCGTCGCCCACCACCACCATCATCACCGCCTACCACAACCGTCGTCATCCCACCATTATAACTGTCAACCATATCACAGTTGTTCATCACTACCGTTGCCACCCACAATTGCCACTACCATCATAATCACTCAAAACTCACTACCAATATCACTGTTGTTATTCGCGGCTGCTACCATCACCACGGTCGTTGTCTTATCCACCGCAACCATCACCGTCTCCCACCATCACCATTGTCGCCCACCACCACTACCATTACTCACATTTACTATAATCGGTACTTAAATTTTTTTTATCTCTCCTCTATGTTTGTGATTTGATTTTGAGTGTAAATACAATATGTTGACCATTTTTTTATTATTCTGTGTTTTCAGGTACAAGGAATAACTAGTATAATTATATTGTAGAGTTATTAATTTTTATTTTGTTAAATAAATTAATTAGATTGTTTATAATATTATTATATTATTGTATATCATAAAAATAAAATATAAGAATCGTGAAATTTAACTTGCTAACTACATGTGTATAATAATTTAACATATATAGATATAGATAATTGTATATAACTATACTAGTAATAAATGAGTTCAAAAGAATTTAGAGGTTTTTATAAAAGAGTTCAAAATAAGTTGAAAGTCGAATATGTATAAAAAAATATAAATTAGATGAAAAGTCTATAGGTGAGAATAATTGACTTTATTATAATAATTAAGAATAAAATAGATATCAATTTTTTTTTAACAAATACTAACATTTATAAATAGCATATATGGATAGGTATAGATATAGATAATCTATTTATCTATACTACTAATAAAAGTACCTCAATATAAATTTTTTTTAATTTACTATTTTACCCTCATAAAGAATTAAAAAGGTCACTCTATCCTTCCACATTTAATATCTAAATTATAATCATATCGTTATGTATTTAAAATTTTAAATTACATCTACGATCAATTTTAATTATATATTCTTTATGTATAAATGTCAATTTTTATCAAAATTTTTAATTAATTATATTACTCTTAAACAATTTATGCATCATTATAAGCTTTAAAAAAATATTCAAAAAATACCTTCAAAACTTTCATCAATATAATATTACTCACCTCATTTATAAAGATAATATTATGACTATATATGTATATTTTATTTTTCATCAAAATACTTAACCCTTTCATTTTTAAGATAAAAAATAATGTTTATATAGTTTTAGATGATTTTTCAGTCACAATAAACTTTTCAGACCGTGTTAAGATTTTATGTGAAAATTTGAATTTTTTTAAAAAATTTAATATGCTTTATAATATATACTAGTTATTGCCCATGCCTGAAGGCATGAAATAATAAAAAAAATGGTCAACAATAACTATTTTTATATTTACACTCAAAATTAAATCACAAATATAGAGGACAGAGAAAAAAATTTAAACACCGGTTATAATGGGATTGAGCAATGGTAATGGTGGTAAAAGATGGTGATGGTTGTGGTGGGTGACGACAATCGTGGATGGTGAATTTTGGGTAACGATGGTGGTAATGACAGCCATGAGTGACGGCGGTGGGAATGGGTGACGGTGATGATAGTTGACAGTGGTCGTGGTAGGGCGACGACAATGACAATGATGGGTTGTAGTAGGTGTTTTTGGGAAACGGTGTGATGAGTGGTGGCGAATAAAAATGGTGGTGGTCAGGGTAAGTGTGGTGGTGGTGGGTGATAGTGGTTGGCGGTAGTGATGGGCGATGACGGGTGATAGTGGTAAGTGTGGTGGGGGTGGGGGGGTGGGTGCTGACGGTGGTTATGGGATGACGATGACGATAGTGGTTGTAACAAAGGCGGTGATGGTGGTGGGGTGGCGATGGCGGTGGTAGTGGTGGTAAGGCAGTGACAGTGATAGTGGTGACGGTGGTAATAATGGGGTGGTGACGACGACGACGACGACAGCGGTGGGGGTGGTGTGACGACAATGGTGGGATGTGATAATGGTGATGGTTGTGAGGTTGGTGATGGGGGGATAGGGGTGATGGTGGGACAATCGTGGTGTTGGTGGGAACGGTGGTAGTGATGGTGGTAGGGTGATAGGGGTGGTAGTGGTAACAGGGTAGTGACAGTGGTAACAGGGTGGTAACAGTGGTAGAGGTGATGGTGAGGTGACAATGGTGGTGGTAGTGATAATGGTGATGGTGGTGGGGGCAGTGGAGGTTGTGGTGGTGGTGGTACGACAATTTCAAACTCTTTTTTTTAAAGTATTTATGAGAAGTTATAAGTCTTAAAAGCGTTTTTAAAAAATCACTCTAAACAAACTTATAGGGGCCTATTTTTCTTATTAAATTTGGGGTTTTAATATTAACCGTCAGATTAATTTTAAAATAAAATATAAAAAGATTTCACCCGCGAATAACAAAAGTTATTTATTTATTTTTTGATATTTGAATTGCATTGTATTTTATTATATAACATTATATATTAAATTTTATCTCAATTGACCTAAATAATTCTAAATATAGTAAGGTTTCAATATGATTGATATATTGATAATTATTTTTATTTTATTCAATGATTTATAAGTAAAATCTTAATCAAATTAATTTTTAAAAATTTAATTTTCAAACAGCACTAAAAAAATCACTTTTAATTGCAAAATTATAGAAAAAATAAAACTTTAATTATTTCTTTTTTTTTTTTATCATTTTTTTAAAATAGGAATAACAAATCTTGACATACAAAGTTTTAAAAAATTCTATAGTGGAGTATGAGGCTACGAGGGATGAAAAAATAAGTTTGATAAATTTGAGATGATATTTAATTTAAATTGATATTTATTTATTAATTTTTTTAAAAAAAAATTATTCACATGTAACGTACGTACTGCATTACTAGTATCTTAATAAGTTCGAATTCCCAAAAAAAAATTAAAACAAAGGTAGTAAAAAGCTTTAAAAAGGTTAACTTTTTTGAAAATTGTGACCCATTGGGTGTGATGGTCTCGGAGAATGGCCCAGGTAAACCCAAAACCAATCCTTCGTATGGAAGAATCATACCAAATTAAAACGACGTTGGATCAGTTCTAATTCAGGATAGACAAAGCACTAGGTACACCATCTTGCCAATTCAAACGAATAAGGAATATGCCACCAGCCACCAGCCACCAGCCACCAGCCACCACCTTTCATTGCAAAAAAAAAATTGGTGAATGAAGGCTGGAGAGAGAGAAAAAAAAAAAAAACGAAAGGCCCCGCGTTGGGGTTGGGGGTGGTTTTACACCTGTCATCAAATGTTGGAACATAGCCACTTGTTGGTTGTAATTAGCACAATATGAATTTTTTTTTTTTTAATTTTTTTTGGGGGAGGGAGAGGGGGAGGGGGAATGGAGATTTGAACCCTTGACCTCAACAAGATAAAGTCTTTACAAGACAAAGAGTACTATTGGACTAAAGACCTAATGATAAAAATAAAAATATGAATTCAAAGATAAGAAATACAATAAAAATATGACATAAAAAATATAATGTGATTCGATAGATTTTATCCATTTTGGTATATCGTATTTACATTCACAGACCAAATATTTATATTGATATATTATTTACTACAATCTGATCATCTAATAATTAATTTTATTTATACAAAAAAGATCTTGTAATTTAAATTTATTCGGATACAAGTTGATGTTTATACGAATGAAAGATTTTTTAAACTTTTAAATATTAATATCAGTAGTAGCTTTCTTGGACGGTACAACTTGTCGTATTGAATAGTGAGGTGGAAAATCGTCGGTGGTAGGTTCGAAGCTAACGTCTCGTCCTCACAGCTGTCTATTACATCACATGTTAGGGAACTGAAGGCTGAGTCCTGATTAGGACCAGGGCATTGTGGGACCTAATATCTTTTTACCCAATTAAATATTCAGGACTGGATTGATATGCATCACAAAAGTCTCTAAAACTTTGTATTCTTATATATTATTAATTCAACTATTCATATTAATTTTTTATTTAATATATGAGATAAAAATTAGTTTTGGGATGTGCAAAGTGTTAAAAACAAGCAATAGCCAACTCTTTTTCCGGCCAGCAAGGGGGGCATGTAGAGAGCAATTATTTTGCTATATAGACCGGTAGGTAGGGGTGTAACTTGATCGAATTAAGCAGATTGAGAGGTTAACTCTAACTTAATTTTAAGTATATAATTTTTAATCATAACTCTAATCTTAACTCAACTTGATTCAAACTGATTTTAAATTAAAAAATGAGTTGAACTTAAATTACTTAATAAATATTAATTTTTTGAATTGTATATTTAATTTTTTCAAGTGATCTGAAATGAAGGGCGAGACTTAGGTGAAGAGAGAAGAAGTGAGAGAGGGAGATGTGATGAATGAGAGAGGGATCCGGGAGTAATGAAGGCTCAGAGGTGAAAATTTGAAGTGAAGTGAAAGTTTGAACTCTGAAGAATGAAGATAAATACTGACTTTAGTTAAATATATTTATATATATTCAAGTTTAACTTGACAACCCGAGGTTTGCCCAAATTCAATTTGGGTTAAAATTTTTTTGTCCAAGCCCAACTCAAATATTAAAAATTTTAATCAAAACCTTGTTTTTTTTAAGTTGGGCTCGAATTAAATTCAGATTGACTCGTCTAAGTTATACCCCTAATGGTAGGTTAGTTTCATTGGCCTTCTAACACCAATTCAATATAAGGATGCGAGAATTTAAGAAGATTTCTCTTCTTAAATTTTAAATTATTGAATTTTAAAATATTTAATTGGCTCACTCTAATTAAAATATTACATGGGTCCTTTATAATTACTTCCATTATTTTTTAAAATTCTTTTAAAATATAAACTTTTAATCATTTAAAATATATACAAATATTATTTTAAAATTAATAATAAAAAAATAATAAATTTCAGAGTATAGTAGTGATTCATATATTCCACGGCTATCCCCAAATTTAGAATTCTATGAATGAGGGAGGAGGCGTGGTGGAATTACCAAAAAAAAAGGGCTGGAAATAATGTCGGCCTAATACTTCCATAACAAAACGTCACCAGTACTTGGTACCCCTCCGAGGCATCCGTCCTTGACTGGAATCCACGTCAGTTGGACCCACTCTTTCCCCAGGGATGTGAGCTCCAACTCAAAGCTGAGTCACCGTGGGGTCCACACCAACATAAATATCTGAACGACAGCTAGCACCAACTCCTTCGGGGGATCCAATCTTTTTAGTATTATTATTTTTATCTGCGGCCGGCATACCACATCACAACACAACACAAGCACTTAATAATATTTAGTGGATAATAAGGTATAAATATTTTATGGTTTTTAAGGAGTCCGAAGAGAGTTGGGTTTTCAGGGAAGGACTCAGAACCTCCGAATTCTCAGGGAAGGCCTTTCCGGCAATTATAAATACTGCCTATTTATCACACCCATTATGCATCTGTATACAATCCATTTGTCTTTCAATCTTCTTTCTTTTCTTTTTCTTTTTCTTTTACTTTGCTCTGTTGTCGAGATTGAGATTCAGTGGGTGGGCTTCAATTTTGATTCAGGATGACTATCCAAATTGATCAGCCTGAGTTTGGTAAATTTTTTTTCTTTTTCTTTAGTTTTTTTCTTTTGGGTATTTTTCATGATATTATTATCTATTTTTTTAGAATATAGCTTGTTTTTTTTTTTTTTCGTTTGTATAAGTTTTGGGTTAGTGTTTGTCGATTAGATTGTTATTTTATTACAGATCTATAGTTTTGGTGATATTATAAGTCTATTCTGCAGATTTTAATTATATTTTAGTGTATTTTAAATTCAAGAGAAGATTTGAAATTTGATTCTCTTGAACTATAATTATTTTTTCGATTAATCATAAATAACTATTGGATTTATTTTGATTTTTTCTGTTTTTCTTCTCCCTCTGTTTCGGATGACAGGAGTTGAAGTTGAGGAAAAGAAGATCCCAAACAATGAAAAGGAATTGGTGTTGGATGGTGGATTTGTGGTTCCCTATTCCAATTCATTTGGCCACAATTTTAGGTCCTTTTCTTCCCCAATTCATTTCTCCATGGAATTGTTACATTTATGTAAGCCTGACAAAGCATTATTGCACTAAGGAAAGGATAATTATTAGGTTGGTTTAAACGATAATAATAAAATGAAAAAAAAATAATCTGGGAATGTATAACACAGCATGGAGAAAAGAAAAGGCAGAAAAATATCCATGAGTTTGGATTCTTAAAACAATCATCATGCCAATCCTGGACTATGCTCGATTGTATTGAACTAAATGAACTGAGACAGCCCAATTAGAGATGATGTTAATTATATATATGTATATATTCACATAAAAGCAAGGTGATGTTTATTACTTATACAATTTTTTTTGGGTTGTTTGGGTTTTTTTAATTTTGTTTGGTGGTGGTGCATGTTTATTTTTTTTTTGTTGGGAGGGGGGAA